TCCAACACACCATAAAACAAATTGTTAATGTTTGCAGATTTTGACTAATTATCAAGAACACACACAGCCAGAAATTGCTTTTAAATGTTATGGTTTTACATTCTGTTGTTGGTGTTGTGCAATATGCAACAAGACTAAGAGTATACAGCCAGACTAGCAGCTTTGTGAGGTTGTACCGAGGCAGACTAGTGCCTTGAGCTAAATGCTAATGTCAGCGTGCTAACATTTTCACAGTGAATGTTAACTAGCTGATTTTATTTAAGTATAGCCTATTGCTTATGTGATGACCCCTGCTCAGTGCCCTGTGTAGTGTGTCTGTCTCTAGTGTGTATGGCTGTGTGTTTTCTTGGTGTATCTGTTGGTGTGTCAGATTGCAAATACCTGGGTCTTCTGTTTTAGGGCTTAAAAGCTCCAGCGTCTGGCATCTCGGTGGGCTCTGCCTTTCAGCTCTGCCGTTGCTCTATTTGTTTTGTTATGTTTTATTTTAGTTACGTTTTGTTTGCACCTTTCAACATCACAATACAATATTACACAACCACACTTACACTACTGGTACAACAGACTAACACACCTCATGTCTTGTTTTATTATCTTTTGATTAATAAATTGTTTATTTTTGCTGGTAATTTGTGTGTCTGCCTCTCGTTTTTTATCATGGCCTAAAAGCTGGGTCATGGCACTGTTTATTTTATTGTTTTATTTTAACATGTGAACATGCACAATTAGCTATTTATCACAAAACACAAAGAACAGCTGAGGCTGATGGGAATATTCAAATATATGGGCATGTAGCAAAATACAGGACAAACTGAAATTTTGACCTGTAGGTCAGAGGATCAACTGGGAGCTATGAATACGTGTACTAAATACCTTGGCAATCCATCAAATTGTAGAGATATTTCAGACCACCAAAGTGGTGGACCACATTTCCACTCCTTGGGGCATGATGGCTAGAAATGGCACTGACTTCATTTATTGCAGACACTTTGGAAACAGGAGAGCCTCATGACAGTGAAGTCATGGTAATGGTCGCTTTCACATTACTTGGCCATTCACTCATTCGCACTCACAAACACTCATACATCCACACACCGGTGCTATCATCAGGAGAAACTGGGAGCTCAGTGTCTTGCTCAAGGACACTTCAATATGTTGACTGGACAAGCCGGGAATCAAACCACTAATCCTTCGGTTAGGAAATGACCCGCTCTACCTCCTGAGCCACAGCCGCTACCTCTATATGATGTTTTATCAGTAAAAATGTATAAATAATAACTAATAAATGTCTCTCCAACATAATTTAATCTCTTGCAGTGCGAAGAAAGCTTTAGACCCTTGTGTTGGAAAATAACACTTCATTTCATCGGGCCACTGTTTCCTAATAATTCCCAAGAACTTTCCAGAAAGCTACCTGGAAATAATTATTTAATCTGGTAGTAATTACAGGGAAACCTGAGAGTTCTGAGGGGGTTTATTGTAAATATAAAATAAAAATAAAACACAGAGACTTCCTTCATGATGTCTCAGGAAAATTTGCGGGGGCTTTGACTTCAGACCCCAGTGAATTTGAACTCCTTGCTACGGCCCTGGCAACATACATTCGCTGTCTGTTGTATCACTCCAGTAAAGCAGATTGAGCTAAATTCTGTTTCTCTTTGAATCATGTCAGTTTCTCACATGAAGACAATGTTTGGAACTGATCGGATGTTTGACAGCTGTGTGAATGTGCTCTGAGGCAAGGTACATTAGTTCACTGTGTCAGGGAGAGGAACAGTCAGCCTAGTCAGCATGTCTGCCTCGCTTCTTGGTCTGCTGAACAAATGTTCAGCCATGACTGCTCATGCTGCACCTGTCAGTGCTGGTAGGTAAACAACTGCTGCTCCATCTCAGCAGCATGTCAGAGGTCTCCCTCAGACCTGGCTCACTGGGGCTAAGTTCCAGACATGCACACTTACACACTTAGGACACCGCATTGAAGTCATGTTAAAATCAGTCCATAAAGCCTGTAAAGCCTGAAACTCCTGTGTTGTACTGCCTTGCTGCTTTTGTCTGGCTCTGTTGTCAGGGCAGAGGCATGTATGGCACGGCGGGGCAGCCCCGAACCCTCCTGGAGCCAGTGAATGAGAGGATGGACAGAGGCAAAGAGAGGAAAGCAAAGGAAATACACTTATCATCGCATTAAAGGACAGCGGGACAGAGGGGTCGAAGAAGAGAAGAGATGAAGGGAGGGAGAGAGGAGTGAGGAGTCGGGGGTGCAGCAATGGGGTCTTTGTTCTGGGTGGTATGACTCAGAAAGCCTTGGCCAAAGCAGCACAGCTTAGTTACTGTTACCAAACACACAGAATAAGGAGGGAGGACCGTGTGGACCGGGGGATGTATCTGCATCAAACCTTGTTTGTCTGATCATGAAATTTTAACAGCCTTTGAAAACTTGTTTTGGGCTGTATTAGTTTTGTTTCCACCAGTACATCACAGGCAGCCATCATTACAGTTAGACTTGGCTCTGAGGAGGTTCAACCTGCTCAGTTGTAGTCAGATAATATGAAATCTAGATTTGTTTACAACAAAAATACAAGGATACTTACAATGTTGTCCTTGTGCAAAGCCCAGATGGGATTGTTTAATTTAGGATAGGGTTAGGCCCCAGGCAGTAAACTCAACTGAGTGGCAGTTTTTACTGGCATGTGAAATTTCTTGTATTATATTTTGTTATAATGTTGTATCACAAGTACATTGTCAGTTTGATCAATCTAGTTTGAACTACTTTTTTTTAAGTAACTTTAGTTAACCAAGCTAGATTTCTCCCTCTTTGCTGTAGTTCAGCTTCTTCCAGTGTGAAGTAATTGCAAAGGTATGCTTTCAAAGTAGCCCCAGCACTGCCTACCACACTGTTTGGAATTTGTTGTCAGCAAGAGACATCCAAAGAGCAGAAACTCACAAGAAATATGCACTGATGTTTACAGGATATCTGTGATTCACAAGAAATGTGAGAACTTGTGAATGATTTTTATTAGAAAAACCAGGTCCAAATGTATAACTCAAAGAACTGGCACAACATTAAATCATATCTAGTATCACAATTTTAGTTTTGTGGGGAAACAACTAATACAAAAATACAAAACTTGAGCCTTTTCTTGGGATACGAGAGATGAAAATAGTTTATCTTAGTGTATAACATGCACCCTCATGACATCGACATCGCCAATGCAGCCATTATTATCTTTCTATGACGTTAATGGGAATAGAATAATTCCTTGCCAATTTAGAACAACTACTTGCCAACTAGTGAAGCAGTTCTATGTATAAGCAGACTAAATGAGTGGAAATCAGGTCATTAAAAGTCATAAAAGAAAGATGTTTTCATCACAGTGTGACTCATACTTACTTAAGACTCATTTAAACACATGCACTTCAACACCAACAATCAAGAGGTTAAAGACATCAGCTGGTGTGTCATGAATTGTGTGCATGATAAATGTGTGTGTGTGTGTGTTTGTATGGCCTGGTTTTACCCATGCTGTGGGGACATCAATCTATTTACAAAGTCATGCTGTGGGGACTCAACGTCGTCCTTATGGGGAGAAAAAACAAGTCTCATTTTCATTACATTTTGATAATTTAGTTTGTGGTTAGGGTTAGGCATGTAGTGGTTATTGTTAAAGTTAGGGTAAGTCTGTAGGAAAGGAATAATTAGTGTAATGTCCCCTGAAGTGTGTGTGTCTGAGTTCAGCTTATGCAGTAAGCAGGATGTCCTGTCCTCCCTGCTGCTATTGTGGTGTGGTCAGCCTACAAGACGCTACCTCAAAGACCACTTCCCCTCTGTCAAGTGCCTCTTGCACAAACACACACACACACAACAAACCCCATGCCAGCCTGAACACAATGGAAAACTATCAAACACTGCCCTGTCACTTGGCTATAAATAACTCTTTTGGCTGCCTCACATATTAAAATTGTATTGTAACAATAGTGTGGCAGGACTTTGATCAGCCAAAATAGCACTGTGCTGCTATTCTGGGGTATCACACATCACATTTAAAAGTGTGTTTGAGTGGATTTCATGACAGTTTCAAAGCCTAAAATATCACAAGCTTTAGTGGTTTTTTAGTTTGTGACATTCTGTCAGAATGTTTTGTGATTGTGTGGCTGTGTGTTGAATACTTGAGCAACAAACAACAAGGTCAGGTTTTTATGGTAGGGTCACTTTATTCTTATACTTTTGGTGTTTCTTTTAATTGTAGCACATCTTGTTACAGTGGTGGAAGAAATACACAGGAATGTAAGTCTATCACAATGGGCACTGCACCCCAAGTACAAGTCCAGCATTTAAAACCTCACTTCAGTAAAAAGCAGCAATTATACTGGAAGTATCAAATGTTAAAGTGCTCATTAATGCAAACTCAGGCTTTCAGAATGTTTAGATTACATTATTATTAATATTATTGATAAATGTAGGCCAAGTAGAAGGAGCATGTGAATGTGTTTCTTTTTATGACACTTGTTTTTCTTTTCGGCAGTTTATATACAACTACTGACTGGGGAATTCTTGTACTTTTCCCACGGCGACTGATGGAATGTTACCAGTTGTGCTGTGAAGACGAAATAAACTTGAACCGTGAGAACTATACAGTGTAATCCCTGTGTATTATGGCGAATGAAGCAGAAAACCCAACAGCCTATAGGCTATAAAATGTGAATCTGCAAAGTAAAACTGTCAAACAAACACAGCAGAGGAAGGCAAAACAAAAAAGTAAGACTTTCACCTCCACTTCCCACCAGGCAGCACCAGTGGTTCTGCTCCTGTTACGATGATGCAGTGAGGCTGACAGAAGCAGCTGTGTGTCCGACAGTCTCGTTCGCTCTCCGGCTGATCCCACCGGTCTGTGGCCCCTCTCTCTCCCGGGCCCTTCCTCCGTCTCAGTCCTCCATTCACACCCCTCCGCGCTCCCCCGCCCCCGCTGCCCAGCCGAAGCGCTATTGTTTCGTTTCCTGTGACTGTGTAAGCAGCCATCCAGCACGCGCGCACGTGCACGCGCGGGCCCCCAGGGTGAGCGGGCGCGGTGGATGCGACCGCGCTCCCATTTCTAGCGGACGGACGGAGAGAGCCGTCAGGATGAGCTGAGGAAGTCACAAGATCAGGACTTGTTGTCGGTCACCAGCTCCAGAAACGGGCCCAACTACTTCTCCTCGCCGATTCGGTTGTTTTTGACTCGGGACATTTGAAAACTGTGCAGCAGCAACAAAGTTGTGAGGTGTTTTGACAGCTGCTGGACGGACACAGCGACCAGGAGGTGAGTGGCCCATTCAGCTGCCACTGAGTTCCCCAAGCTTTGTCTGCGGACACTAACCCAAAATGTGTGTAGCTGACAACAGGCTAATACAATTTACTACACAAACAGGTGTTGCTATAGTTAGTGTAAACAGCTCATCTTGTGTTTTTAAGGAATGGACGTTGTATTGTTGGTCTCTCCAGCTGGTTGTTCAGCTGTTTACGCACTGAATCTACAACGGATTAATTACAACAGCAATAAACACCTTTCAATACAGTGTAATGCAACTGTTACACAACTTCACTACAAATTACAACATGCCCTCAATTAATTTTGAATTAAAAAGTAATCAGTGCCCATTTCTCTCAACAAAAACTCTGGACTGTTTGATTAGCAAAATGATTGCAGATTAAGACTCTGTCATCTGACCTTCCAGGTAATGGACCAACTGTTTCGAGCCTAATAAACCTCATGAAACTATTATAAACCTCATGAAGTTTTGGAGGACTTCATACTGTTTTTGTTTGTTCATGACATTGATAGTGCTATATTCCCAGAAGAAATCTGTAAGGCAACCTCACTGATTTAAACTTTGTATACTAACTCCTACTACTCGCTGAAAGCATTGATCATGTCCTCTTGAATATGGCGCTGTACGCCTGGATGTCTGCCACCTTCCCTGTCTTTTCACCCCTAGCACGTGAGAGAAAGGAACAGCTGGATGTGAGCTGTGTCTGAACTCGAACCTAGCTATGTTCAGATCAGCGGGTCCCAGAGGCCTGTGTCTGTCACTGCCATGGCCAGCAGCTGGGGGGGGGGGACGGACCCTGGAACTGTGCAGCTGTCCATGACCTGCGCACACACTCTCAGGAGTGAAATAGTTTCTTTCAAAGACAAGCTGTATTGCAGCCAAAGTGAATGTTTATAGCAGCAACAACATCCGCTGAATGTGACGCCGGCACTGTCAGGGATCCTGGTCCTGAGCCACGATACACAGAACCCTACGTGTGTGAGTGTGCTTGTACTTGCTACATACTGAGGACCAGAAAAGTATTTTATTTTGCTACAGAGTGAGGGCAGTTTTGGAAAGTGAGGGCATTTTGGCCAGCCTTAACTTTCTGAAACAGCTTTTTGAGGGTTAAGGTTAGATTTAGGTTTAGGTTAGGGTTAAGCATTTAGTTCTGATAGTTAAGGTTAGGATAAGGGGCTAGGAAATGTGAGTGTCCTCACAGAGATAGAGGTACAAGTATGACTCTGTGTGTGTGAGGACTGGCACATGTAGTTGTTCGTCTGCTCATGTGTGTGTGGAGGCTTGTGCATATCTGACTGTGAGTTACGACCACATGGCTACAGTGAGGGCATTGTGAGGACCAGTGGAAGCTTTCAGGGAGGCGTGTGAAAACCCAGTAAAGATGTCACAGAGCAGCTGGCATAGCACAGGCCTGATGGACTGCCTACACTCACAGCGTTGCCTTTGTGTGTGTGTGTGTGTGTTTGTGTGTGTTGACAGTGTGAATTCTCTGATACTCGGGCTTGGGTCTCACTACTGGTTTAGCTCTGTTACATAACAACAGATAAGTCCAGTTGTTAAAGTGGGTGCTGTGGTGTCTTGAACTGAATTCCCAGTAGGTTGGAGAAAGACTTTAGTTAAGAAAGATAAAAGAAGGGTCAAAAGGTCAAGGTTTCCTGAGTTGTCAGTCCATAATGCAGGTTTTGCCTGAATGCAAATCTGCAGCTTTTTAATCTGTATTGTCTTACATGGAAATGTGTAATATATTTATCTTTATCGATGTTAGATCTTTGACTATTTTCACATAAACAGGTGGTTTTGTAAGGAGTCAACAAGTTAGAAAAGTAAACATAGCTATTTGAATCATGAAGAATCAATCTTTATACAAGATGAAATGTGTGTTTGTATAATGGGAGCACTGACTATCACTTCTGAATCACAAAAAATTCTATTGTAAAAGTGTCTTCTGAATTGGAAGTAGCCAGCGTGTTAGTAGCAGATATAAACAACACAGCCAACAATAGTTTCTGTTTCAACATCACAGCCAAATATTGCTCCAAATAAATAACTAGAAAACGCTTTGTTAATAATGTCGAGTCGTTTTAATTGTCCATGTCTGACAACAACGCTTTTGTGACTTTTGGACATCCATGTTCTGTGATGGTGGGAGCAGCTCTGCGCTGCTCTTCCACCAAAGTCAACATGCTGAGTTGTTGACTTCTTCCAGTGTGTAACATGAGGCCATTAGTCAAAGTGTGTTTTACCTCCCCTCCTGTTTCTGCCAGCTGTATACTGGCAGAAACAGGAGGGGACACTGCTGTACTGTGTTGTATTGTGCACTGAAGATTCAGTTGTTTAAAGGTCATATTCATATAACAGAATACATTTCTGCCATCCATGTTCCTAAAATTGAAATGATAAAATCTAAAATATTTGGACACAATCGAGTGGTTCCTCTTCAGTGGTGTTAATGGCTAAAGGCTCAAACCGGCATGCTTCATTTTATGAAGAACTGGAGTTGTTTGCTTGGTGGTCTGTAACTTTTATAGAGAGGAAGTGACTGTGTGCTTTTTCCTTGTCTCTCCACAGGAGGACTGACCAGCCCTGCAGCCTGTCATCCTGACTGTCTCTGCCTCCATCTGCGTGTCTGAGTGTCCATGATGACTTGGAGAGGGCTGGACTGGTGGATCCCCTACTGACAGCTGCTCTGCTCTGACTCGCTCCTTTCCTGGTGGCTTTGTGTACCCTTGTGCTGTGGGGCCCCCGTCACCATCTAAGCACTCACCATGGCTAGTCTGGTGCTCAACGAGACTGGAATGGAGGACTGCGGCATTGACGACTCCTTTAAGTATAACTTGTACTCGGTGGTCTACAGCGTGGTCTTTGTCTTAGGCCTGATCACCAACTGTGCGGCCCTCTTCGTATTCTGTTTCAGGATGAAGATGCGCAATGAGACCACAATGTTTATGACTAATTTAGCACTATCTGATTTAGTATTTGTTTTTACGCTGCCATTTAAGGTTTTTTACAATGTTAACCGCCACTGGCCATTTGGAGATGGACTGTGCAAGGTATCGGGAACAGCCTTCATCACCAACATCTACGGCAGCATGCTCTTCCTCACCTGCATCAGCGTAGACCGCTTCCTGGCAATTGTCTACCCTTTCCGCTCACGCTCCATCCGCACGCGCAGGAACGCGGCACTAGTGTGTGCCGCCGTGTGGCTGACCATTGTAGGAGGAGGGATATCAGTAACCTTTTTCTCTACCATTAACAGCACAAACAGAGCTACCACATGCTTTGAGGGTTTCTCCAAGAGCACCTGGAGGACCTACCTGTCCAAAATCACCATCTTCATCGAGGTAAGCAACAGGCTCTAAAAGTCACACAGTCTTACATGCACACCATTTAAACACTTTATTTATCTAACCAGAAACATAGCAGCAAAGTTTTGTTATGCTTTTGATTATCATCCTAGATTGTGGGCTTCCTCATCCCCCTGCTGGTCAACTTGGTGTGTTCCTCGCTGGTTTTGCGGACCTTGCGTCGCCCAGCGACCGTTGGTCAAGGCTGTGACAGCAAGAGACGTGTTTTACGGATGATTCTCGTCCATCTGGGCATCTTCATCACCTGCTTCGTCCCCTATAACTCGATCCTCTTCCTGTATGCCCTGGTGCGGACCCAGGCACTAGCTAACTGTACTGTGGAGCGCTTTGCCCGGACTCTTTACCCAATCACGCTGTGCCTGGCCACCCTGAACTGCTGCCTGGACCCTGTAGTCTACTACTTCACCTCTGAGAGCTTCCAGAAAAGCTTGACCTTTGGCGTAACACACACCAAAGGGACAGGCTCCCGACCTGAGAGCATCCCTCGCAGTGACACTGACACCCAGGACATTACAAACACTGTCCCCAAAGACACACACACTGTGGCCAGCAATGGAAATGAGACAAAAATGTCAGAAAGCCACTTCTGACTCAGTGGGAGGATGGAAGGTCAAGAAGGACAGGGTGGATTTGAAAGACAAAAGAGAGCAATCAGCTGTTTGTCCTGGAAGTCCTGGAGCTGGCTAACACATAACTCAGCAGATTAGTTAAGTCCTGAGGTATGGCCTGGACTTTACGGATTAATCCACCACTGGAGACCACAGGAATGTATTTGTGTTTGTTTATTACTGTATGAGCAAACAATAGAGGGACCAGAGACATAGCTACATGAGGACAATTTGTGACAGTCCTGTAAAAGGGACTCCAACACATCGTCACTCAGGCGTAACACACACCAACACTCACAAATGCACTGGATTTCATCCACATAGTTTAAATATGCTGTCAAGTACTTTTATAACACACCGAGCCCTTTAGTTTTATCAGCATAAAGTTCACATTTTCACAGTGCATTATATCACTTTAGATATTAATGTTATGACACTCTTTATTGTGTTGAGACCCAGTGTTGTTATAACACAGCAGCGCACAGACCTGCCAAGTTAAATGTGTCTCATGTTGAAGTTTGAGACCATTAAATGTCTGTTTTGAATTGTATTCATGGATGCATTTATTATTTCTGTCCCTGGCTTCATGCCCATTGGTTTGGTCAAACTGACTTTTGTCAGCGTGACTGTAGATCTGAACTCTTGCACTCCGGCTTTTGGTTCTTGCCAAGCAGTCAGAGTGAGCTTGTTCTTGGAGCAGAGGGAGGCTGTGATCCAGTCGAGGACCTTGGCCTGTGTGCTGTGTCACAGGCCAAATGTTCATTATAACTGGACCAATTGTCCATTGTTTGCTTTTGAAAGAGGTCTCTGTTTTAATCTGGCCTTAGACAGCAGATCTGCTCAAAGTCTCAAATATGTGCACACTCCAAAGTACGGTTAAACTAAACACCCCAAATCATAGTCTTACACTTCACAAAGGGCAAAACAATAAAAAGTTAGCAGATGCAGGAGTTTGAGTGTCGCTGGCTTTGCCCGTATGGATTTGTGGCCCATTTGGTAAATATTTGTATCCAAAATGTCCTGAGCCTTCACCACTGCATGGACTTCTAGCACCCAGTGAAACTTAAGGACCAGGCACACCAGCAACATTAATCTTGTGATTTCAGGGCGAATCATCAAACTTCAAGAACTGCCTATTTAACAAGGATACATGAACAAGCTACGCTCCACTACTACACGTTCTACATGTGATAGTGTTTCCACCGTGACTTCAGAAAGTTTTCTGAACCCTTCCCTATATTGTCCGTCCGTCCGTCTGTACGTCCATATGATTCTTGTGAGGTCACTGTCACTGCATATTCATCCCATTTATGAGCTGGTTATTTCAGGAACAGCTTAAGAGAATTTCTTCAAATTTACCACAAATGTCCAATCGGACTCAAGGATGAACTGATTAGAGTTTGGTGGTCAAAGGTCAAGGTCAGTGACCTCACCTCTGTCCCATGTATCGACTGGTTGGTGGAGGCATACAACTGCAAAGCGGTAATTCTATTTGTGCTGTAGATTTCATTTTAAATGGTATAAAATTACCAGAAGGGCCTCGGTGAGGGAGGAGACCAAGGACCCAACAGTCATTCTAACAGAGCTTCACACGTCCTCTGTAGAGATGGGAGTGTGACAGGATGGAAGCTGCTTTGAGTAAAATGCAAATGACAACTTTTTGGAGTTTGTCAAATAGCATTTAAAAGAAAATGATTCTCTGGTCTGATGAGACAAAAATCTGTCCCTTTGGGCAAAACTCCAAGCACTGTGTTTGCTGAACACCTGCCTCTGCTCATCACCTGCTAATGTTGCATTCCATTATATATGATGATAGTACGTTTTTTTAAGGCGTTTATCCATTCTTTCATAGAGACATGTGGAATTAGAGATCCATGGCCTTAGCTGGGAGAGTAATAGTTCTCTGTACCTGCTGTAGTGGTATGAACAGAGAGTGAAGGAGGGACAATTTTTAGTAATCCAAGTAGGCCTCTCTGGTAGAGTGAGTGATGTGAGCATGTGGCTGACAGAGTGGAGGAAGTTACAAAAATAAATATTCCACTTCACCCTTTTAGTGGTTCATGTCCTGAATGTGGCTGAAATTTGGCAACACTCAATGGTTCATTCTTCAAATATCTCCCTTTACATGAGCAAGCTGTCCTGATTGTAGAAGACAAAACTGCACATTGTATTTCAGTACACTGAGTATTGTCCTGTTCTGACCTCTAGTGGCAAAAGGTTGGAACAAAGCCCCATTATAATGAAGCAGCCTAAATATCATGGCCTTTTACTGTCACATGCTTCTTTCTGTTCAACCTGTTTGCCGATTATCAGCCTGTCCATAAATTATGAGGTAAGACACACACATTGTAGCTGCAGGGGAAGCATGCAAGCCTATTAAAAGTCACACAGGTGCCAGGAACTGCCTGGAACCTGCCAGACACATTTTCTATGGGTGTGACTTCATGTACATTAGGTGTTATGAAAATAACACAATGGTTGAAACCACAGCTGTTTTTCTGCAGAGTATTTTTTGCATTTTAGTAGCATGTGAGAGGTTTTTTTCTAAAGGATGCACAATGGAAATCATGTCCATATTGCTAAAGGGCAAATAGGTATGCCGTGATATCAGTGGCCACAGAAAACATAAAATCCTACTGTTTTAAAGCCTCAAATGACTAAAGCACAAATAAACAGTATAACAAACACACAGGTCTACCTTACACAATTAATGCCTTGATAAACAGTTATGAAAAAGGAAGTGTCACATCTGATTGGGGAAGCAGATGGACACTTGCTTTTTTGTCACAGCCCCAACTGTTGCAGGATGCAAACTGAGACTACTTTTATAGAGTATAGTAGTGTAAATGTAGCATACCTACAAACTGTATGACTGTTGTGTCCACTGAACAGACACCTGCTTCAGAATTCTGTAGAATTTCAGAGGTAAGAGAAGGGAGTTTCTGTCTGACCATCTGTCAGTCTTATGACAGGTAAATTATTTTCTCTGTAAGTGTTGTTCTGTTTTCTTAACCATGCTTTTCCCTTTCCACGTGCCCAGTACTGTATGCTGTAAGATGTGACTGAGTTGCTAGGGCCTCAGCAAGAAACAAACAGTATAAAACCACTCAGATGTGAAAGGGCATAGCTTCCCCTTCCTCTTACCACCATACCCAAGAAACCAAGAGCCTGTGAAGCCTGAGAACAGCCCACACGAGACACAGCCATCTTATGCAACCACACATTCAAACAGAAACGTTATCGCTGACGCGTTATTGCTGACTTCTTCACATGCACACACTGACAGTTTTTTTTTCAGCCGCAGAAGTGCGTCAGGAAGTTTTGTTGTTGTTCTTGTTTGCCACTGTACAGCTCAAGAGGAGACAGTCAGTCTACTGTTCACAGAGAGGTGTGAAGCATGCAGTCACCGGTGGTCACCTCTGGGTCCAACCGTTCCGCTCCGTCTATGCTGACCATTTAAAGAGAAGACAAAGAAGCACAAGGTAATAACTTTGATAAGAGAGAATTTCTGAGAGACAGCCATGCTTCTGTGTTTTGGATAGGCATCTGTGGTCAAAGTGATGCTTCACATTTTGCTGATGATGCATGACTTGTCATTAAAGCTGCTCTGTCATAGGATTTACATCTTACATTAAATGCTATATGTCTGTCAGTAGTGGAGTTTCATGTTACATGCTTTATTAATATCTAGGCAAGTCATGGCACTGGTAATATCTGATGTCAATTATTTGATGTCAGCTATAAGATAGAGGTTTAAGAAATTATTCAAATGCATTTCAGACTACTGAGAAAATGCAAGTTGCTACATTATCTTTACATTTCCAGTGGACCTGCTTAGTACTTCCTCAAATGTTATATACTGGACACATTGTTGCAAAACTCTTAACTACACGGATAGTATGAGATAAGCCATTGGCTGATTGTAGCAGACTGATAGCCTCAGCAGCCAACAGGAGAAAAACTAGTCAAAATTACCTAAAGCAGCAAAAAAAAAAAAAAAAAAGTCACAGTTTGTCTCTTCCTCTCTGGCAAGGCAGAGGAAGGGTGTGGTGCTGTCATGATGGCAGAAGGAAGGGTGATACTCCAGTGATAAGCAAAGTAAATGCGTCTTTTTTTTTTGCTAATTTCCTTCTACAGTCTTTGATTTATTATATTTGCAAAACCATGTTTCCTGAAAAAACTAATTTCTAGTCAGATACATACAAGGGGCAAGGAATTTAATATTTTATATTTTCCTGGAATCCATTTCACATAACATTCAGGTAGAAAGTCTCTAATAAGATACATCTTATAAATGTACATAAATATATAAAATATATAATCTAACGCTTGAGTTTATTTCCTGTGGAATACTAGATTCTTATCCTAGGCACGAACCAGAAACGAAACATCTCTGTTTGATAGAACTGCTCATAACTTGTGTCCACATTAGCAGTGGAAGTAGTATTCAAGTACTTAATGCTAAAGTATGCAACGTGTTTCAAATATTTTTGTTGTAGAACTATGCTCCACATCTTGTCTTAATGTGGAGAGGAGCTGTCAAAGCCTCTTGTGACCCAGACTCATACTGGCAGCAGTGCAGACTTATTAGCTTCTAAAAGATTTTGAGAGGGATCGATCTCTGTAACCAATCAGAGATTTTCAGTTAATTTGCTTGCAGTTTTGTTGCATTCTCATTTATTGCAAAGTCATACTGACAGTTATCTGCAGAGGTGGGCAGAGTGTGGCGGAGCATAACATATCATAGTAGAGCATAGTGGAGCAGGGAGGGGGAGCGCTGGGCAGAGCACAGTGGGGTGATTTGGAATATCATGTTAATGATACCTTAAGTTACATACTGTAGCTTTAATTAAAATGATCTATATAGAACTGTAGGAAAAAAAATCTCTGTTACAAGTAAAAGTCATTAATTGGAAACAGCCAAACTAAATAGTAAATTTGTTAAAATGTAGTTAAAGTATTATTAATATTTGCATCACATCTTGCTTGTAAATGAAACTACATTTGTACTTATGCACAGTGCTTGAGAACATATACACCGCTAGATTCCACCACTGGTCTGACTCTACACCAGGGTCGTACTGAAAATCGGAAAGGCTGGGAGTCACTGTCCCTAAACTCGTTTAGTCTATTTAGCCTGCCCTTCAGTTCACAATGGAAACTACTTTAATATTTAATATTTACAAGGCTTGATCAAGTGATGTTGGCATCCTCACTTACTGAAGAGGTTTCACAGCTACCCACAGAGTTTGCACTTACAAATAGTAATATGTTAAACAGGTTTTGGCCTAGAGCATCTTTCACCCTTTAACCCTTTAAAAATCACAGCACGTACTGAGGGAGTGTAAACACCAGTCAGCGTGATTTGTCACAACCTGACATCCCCAAAATAAAAAGGTTAATACAATTTATAAATTCATTAGTACAACCTTATAAACATTATTATAAAGTGGGACCAGTAAGGGATGATGTACTACATTGTTTTTCCATAACATGTCAGTTTTCATTTGCCTATTGTAGGCGTCATGGGAGTGAAGAGGTGAATGATTGACCACAGGAAAGAAGCCATTTGAATTATGCCAGCAGTGTCTGTGTAGGCAAGGAAATGGCTCAGAATATGTCTGGCTTGCGGGAGGAGACCCCGAACTCCTCATCACAATGTGACGACAACATGACCAGCTGGAACCAAAGCATGCAGACAATGTACACCTACTTCTACCTGCTGCTCTTCATCCCCGGGCTGCTGCTCAACACCACTGCTCTCTGGGTCCTCTGCAGATATATTAGGTACACACATATAAACCCGCACTCACACACATACCAGACCTCAAACACATTAAGGACATGGCTAAATCTTATGTGTGTTGCTCCATAGGAAGAAGACCAAGGCTGTGATCTTCATGATAAACCTGGCATTTGCGGACCTGGCCCATATCCTCTCTCTGCCCCTCAGGATCTATTATTACTTCACACACACCTGGCCCTTTGGACATGGCATGTGCTTGTTCTGCTTCTATCTCAAATACCTCAACATGTACGCCGCCATAATGTTCCTGGTGAGTGCACAGTTCAGTGGCAATAATCCTGGAATATCCTTTGTAGAAGGAGCAAGGAAATTCAAATGACATCTAGGCAGCTTTTGTTAACAGGCATCAAATATCAACATGTGGCATTTTAGTGAAAGGCAATTTGGGAAAACAGCCATCTGTGTTTAAGCCAGTGACTCTGAGGCTGGCAGATCATTTTGCTGTTGTACTATTTTGCCTGTTTCCTGTTTTTCCAGGTGTGCATCAGCGTGCAGAGGTGTGTCTTCCTGCTTGACCCATTTTTTGCTCGGCGATGGAGGCGGCGCTATGACCTGTTGATAAGCAGTATAGTGTGGTTGGTGGTTGGCCTGGGCTGCTCGCCGTTCATTCTCATGCGGAGCAGTAGCACCAATGCTAGTACCAGCGTAAACACACAGACATTTAATAACTTGTCCTTTTCTGTGACTGAAACCTTTACCCAACATTCCTTAGATTACACCAGCAGCAGGTCAGTGTCCATCCCCAATTCTTCCAGAGGAGAGTGTTTTAAAGACCTGCCCATGCGTAGACTCTCCCAACCTCTGGCAATCTCCATGATGACCCTGGCTGAGCTGTTTGGTTTCATCATTCCTTTGGCCTGCATAAGCTACACCTGTGTACACATTGCTCACTCCCTCAACCAAAGAAAAATCCAGGATCAGCATAGCCCATACACACTCAACTCCTCAGCACGCAGCAGACTCCAGTCAGTCACCTCCAACTGCCAGATGGATAAATATGAAAAGCATACAAATGGTGACAAGCGGCGTGCCCTGCGGATGGTGCTGAGCTGTTCTGCCCTCTTCTTGTTCTGCTTTGCTCCCTACCACCTCAACTTCTTGTTATACCTGATGGTCTCACAGGAAATGGTGTCCCATTGTCCTACCAGGCAGGCTGTACTTAAGTTCCACCCAGTCTCTCTGTGCCTGGCGAGCCTGAGCTGCTGCCTCAACCCTCTGCTTTATTACTTTCTAACAGCTGAGTTCAGGATGCACCTCACCAGCCGCTCCTCCTCCTTCTCCTCCTCTCTCCTCTCCTCCCCAATCAGTTCCCCAACCCAGAGGAATGGTCCACAGAGACTGATGAGCATGGAAAGCAGCTATTCGGATAAAGAGTAGCATTATTTAGAGCAACGTTTGTTTTTCCCTCAGGGAATGACAGAGATAAACATGTCAAACAGATACGTCTTCATAATGCATTCAGTCGAATTTGATAAGTTGGACCAGATCACTTCACATGTCACGGCTGATCCACGGAGCTTTGACCTCAGTGGGAAGAGCACCCAGGGGACGCTGCTTTAGAACAAACAAGGTTTTTAATCAGCAGCTAAAATAACGTATGCCTGTGTGTCATATTGAATGTGCGCTTGTTACATGCAGTTGTTAAACTTGCTATATGAACATGTCTCCTGAGCTCAAGCCAAAGGAAACAAGCAAAAACTTCAAATAAGCTACTGTACATAGTAAATGTCAAGGTATACAAATGCATGTTAAAGTACTGTAAATAAAAAGAAAAATGCATTGTGTGTTGTATGTGGTGCTTTGATGTTTGTTTCCACCATATATCCGAGGCTGTTTCATAATGAGGTTCTATCTGGGTGACAGTAAATGAAAACAGGTGCTAGCTCATTTTTGTTGTACTTCCTCTTACCATGTAAAGCGGCAAAGACAGTTGGCAACGGTTGCCAGCAGATATGAAAAACTGTTAAGGCGCTGAGGCGGGCTTTTAAACTGAAATGCAACACCGTGTGCCCTCCATCCCCCCACGCACACAAGTGCTCTCACATCTGCATCATCCGAGTAGGCTCTGAGGCTACCCCCGCCTCCAGGCTGATCTATACAGCCCACCTTTGGAAAATACTGCCAGGTGTCTGAGTCACACATCAAAATGCCCCTACATCTTATCTTTTTGCTGACATGCTCAGGCATTGCATCAGATTTTCATCTTCCATTTAGTTACTGATAATACAATGTGAAAATGAGAAAAAGAAACCAAAAGATGAGGATGTTTAAAAAAAAAAGACCAAGAAGAAGTTTCTGTTCCTGGTTTTGGTGTTAATCTCATCGTGAGATCATATAATGTTTTGGTATGTCATCTAGAGGACTTGCACGGCTGATAGACACTGTCCTCATGGAAAGAACTGGCTATATGCATAATAGCAGAAGTTCTGGTGTCAAAAATTCTTGTAAACCACACCCCCCACTCACAGGAAGTCCTATGTGTGCTAAAACCCCCAGTAGAGACAGCCAGCCAGACAGACAGACAGACATACAGAGAATGGCAGATATATACAGGGAACACCGTCAGAAGAAAAAACAGGAAATAACATCAGGTTAGAAAAGAAACATACTGCAGAAAGTGTGTATGAGGTAGAACAACATAGAGAGAAGTAAAGGGTGGGAATGAGAGAGGGTGGGACAAAACAAGAAAATAGTGTGAGAAGGGAGGAGGGAAGGGATGTGATGCTTCACCCCTCTGACTTCTGACAGAACGTGGCTTCAAGTTTGACAACAGAGGTGAGAAATTACTGCCAATTTTAGAATCTTATATTGTCAAGAACCTGTGAGTGTGAATTTTTGTGTGAGAGGCTGGATGCTTTCAGCATAGAGTCATGACTCATAGGGAATCTTGCATGTTTTTCCGATGAGAGGATTATCTGTTATGCTGAGGGTGTGTGTGTCTGTAGCGTCACGGTGTCTCTGCGTTCCCTTGTGTGTATGGAGGGTCAGGGCGTCTATTGTGTGTTGAAACAGAGCACGTGGAGGAGTGCTGGCATTTCGGTGCTGATACACGAGGCCAGATTTTGTGTCTGAGTGGAAAAGCTGTAACATGCCAACATCCCACAGAGAAATGAATCACAGAGGATCAAATAATATGTTTCCATTGGCAGGGTCTGAAGACTAAAGCTGCTGAATCCTAGTAAGGTAGGGGTACAGGTTTTTTATGAAATAGAACATTGTTATGAGTCTCATTCTACATATACACCTCACCTAAACCAGTATAGTGTAGTTTTTACTCATTAAAATTATTGATATTTTGGGGGATTTTGTTGATAGCAATAATTAGATGATATTTTGCATCCATCAAAAAATGGGTTTAAGTATCAACAAAACTGAGGCAACATTAGAAGCGTAAGAACACACACAGTTAGGAAAGCCCAACGGCCCGACCAGTGTGATTAGTGAGCTAATTAATTTGTTGCCAATATTTCCAAACTTCATCCAGTGCTGCTGAAGGAAGAGAGGGTCAGGAAAAGAGAGAGAGGTAGGAGGAGGAGGAGAACAGCAGCCAAGTGTGGTGCAAAAGCTACAGGTCAGATGGAGCAAACAAATATGTAGAAGCAAAATGGCCTTGTTTCTATTCTTCTGAGCAGTGATTCAAGTACCATATTTAACAAATATTTTATAAAAACATGTGCGCCCCTGCACCCCGCCACCACTACCACCACAAATAGAATATAATTTTGTGTGTGTGTATTTCGTATACACATACACTGATATCACTTTTGCAGAGTGATTCTGCTAAAGTTTGCTGTGTGCGTTTTTGTGCCAGTACCTTGGCTGTTTTAGTCCTGTCCTGGACAGCTGACTCCCAAAGCTTTTCATTCTTCATACTCTGTGCGATGCTTAGCTCGCAGACGGTGAAACAAGCTGTTGAGTTGTCTCTAGTGGCGACCAAATTCCAACAGTTTGCAGATTGCTGTTTTTGAGCAACATCCATCCTTCAAAGCTCCAGGTTCCGGGTTCGGGCCCCACCTGGAACCTTTCTGTGTGGAGTTTGCATGTTCTCCCCGTGCTTGTGTGGGTTCTCTCCGGGTACTCCGGCTTCCTCCCACAGTCCAAAGACATGCAGCTTAGGTTGACTGGTGTCTCTAAATTGCCCATAGGAGTGCGTGTGTGTGGTTGTTCGTCTATGTGTTAGCCCTGCGATGGATTGGTGACCTGTCCAGGGTGTACCCCGCCTTCGCCCGATTGCCGGCCGGGATTGGCTCCGGCCCCCCCCCCCGTGACCCCGTTCAGGGACTAAGCGGTAGAAAAAAAATGAATCCCCGTCACAAAGTCTGAGGGCGCTCTAACCACATTTTGAGTGCTGTTCACTTTGCAACTCAACATTTGAGAGTGCACAGGCACAGTTTTACAAATGCACAATCTGATTTGAGAGCTTAGTCTCAGTCATGCATGTGCTTGTTTCTGAGTGCTCTCTCAGATTTCTCCACTGGGATTTGTGTGAAAGTGTGTCCTTGCCCCTTGCCTGCTAGCTCTCATAGCCCTGATTTGCAAATTGAATAATGCTTGCAATTTGTTTTGTAAGCTTTCAAAACCTTTGACGTGGACAATCTTCCACACAAACCCTAGAGGAGACATCTGAGAGTGCAGACTCAGATTCCAGCTCTCAAATCTGATTCTGTGCTAACACAACTGTGCCTGTGCACTTACAAATGCTGAGTTGCAAAGTGAGCGGTGCTCAAAATGTGGCTAGAACACCCTCAAAAATTGTGGCAGATATTTACTCCCATAAAAATACCTCTGTGCCAGTGAGGATGCATGTTTAGCAATCAAATTAATGACATAGATTACGAGGCCTTTGGTATCTATATTTTATCTCTTGGCGCTGTCTGTTCACTCATTTATAACCTCACCAATGCAGTTTTATGCTGCCACACTGACTTGTAGTTCAGTGATCTTGTACTGTACATGCTGCACATGCTCTCAATGTGCAGCACGTGACGTCTAGGCCACATCCCGCAGGAGGTATGTGGGCTCTCAAGGCCTGTTTTTGATTGTTTTTGTAAAGTGACTGACATACTCAATAATGCCAGCTGGCGCATTGTTAAAACAACAATTAAGACATTGTCACAGACAATATATAACGCACACCCCTAACTCTCAAGATGATGATGTTTCTGTCACAATAAGATGATGTGCAGCTAATGTACATCAACAAGAAGATGAATATTATATAAGCCCGCTGCCGCAAGAGACAAGAAGGAACTGAGACTCCAGTACTGTCTGGTCTTCAGCTGACGGCCTGCAACAAAAGCACATTGCACATGAAAAATGTGAGAAAAGAAATGCACTAATAACACATGTAGGTCAAAGGTCAGTGAAGCTAAAAGAAGGGCTGGGAACTGAGAGCCCACTGGGAGCTATGTCTGCCTGTGAAGCAAGACACCAGGCAGCCAGGGGGGCCAGAGTGCTGTGGAGGGGTCTATAGCTCATGAAGCAGCACTATACATCATCCAAACTGGATGACACCCCCTCTTCACTCAACTCAACAACCTCTGCTTGTTAATGTCCTTACCGAGAGCCACTGTACTGTACTCTGGTACAATTTTGAGGTACTTCTGCGTTTGCTACTGTACTCTTATTTCCTTTTTAAGCTACTTTTATACTTTTATCCCACTACATTTCATAGGGAATTGTTGTTGTTAATACTCAGCTACATTTATCATACAGCTGTAGCTACTTTTCATATTAAGAATTTATGGTTTTAAAATACAAAGCATTGTTAAAGATGATACCAGTAGCATTTAAACTACTGGTTTAACTCATTCCTCACCCAAATACAGTGGTAACACAGTCTCTAAGAGTTCACAGTCCCACATATGAGTGATTTCCCCTCTAAACCCCTGAGCTGGTGCCATTAGAGAAAAGTCTGAACAATGAATACAACTTTCCATGGACGGAATTTTGTTTTATGTTCTTTCTCTAACCAGTGACTCAACTCATGCCCCTCAAATTCATCTTGTGACCCGTTAGAGCTTCCCCACCCCAGAGGTGAAAACCACTAGAACAGTGAAATTATGCTTACTCATACAAGAACAGCAACAATCTAACAAGGTAATATATAGCAATACAGCTCTCACGAGGGCTATTTTCTGCTAAATGAGTACTTTTACTCTAGGTTCACCTCTGTACTTTTACTTAACAAAGATTTTGAATTCAAAACTTTTACTTATAATAGTCTTACATTGTTGTACCAGTACTACAGTAAGTAAAGAGTCTATGTTTTAATTCCATCAGCACTGAGGTGCTTGTGATGAGCATTAAACAATAAGGCATAAATTATGTGTTACATAAAATACCTCATCTTTAGTGTAGTATGTATAACTTGCCTTATACTTAAAATACCAAAAACATAGATTATGTTTAGACAACAGTCCCAAATGTTTAATTTGTACAGTTATGCATCATTATTTATTTTTTGCATTGTGAGCATTATTCATATCACGTGATTTTTTTTTTTACCGCTTGTCAAACTTCCTCAAGTATGCTATGAATAGTTAAAAATTGTTACAGTAATTTAAATTAACTGGAAGACTTGAAACTCATCGTGTCTTCAAAAAGCAGAAAGGCCGATTGCCCAGTTTATACAGAAATGATCAATTTACAAGTCTCATCTATACAAACACAGTATGTGTGAAAGGCCAAAACAATGAAAACTATTTTTTGTTCTATAATTAAACAGGGCCACTTTCTGTTAAGCGGTTTACTTATGTAGCAGCACAGCATAGGTAAACCCATGCATACAGCTGTGGGTGTATCACGCCTACGAGCAGTAAGTTCGGTTCCAGATATCACTGTGCATTTCCATTTCATCAGGATTTAAACTTAGCTACAATGAAAGTCCTTACAACCCTCTCATTTTCAATTTGAGCTGTTGGATGTGTGAAGAAGCATAATATGGCTGTGACTTACAGTATACCGAAACAAAAAGAGTGCTTTCTCACACATAAATGGACTTAGGGAAGGCAGCATGCCTTGGTTCGACAAACCACAAGTCTAGTCTGATTTGGTAACCACTCCGGTTTCAGTGATGCTTCACCCCAAAGTGTTTGGCACACTGGCTCTTTGCAGGGTGCCCTGCAGCTGGAGATGATAAACAGTCGACACTATGTGGTAAACTGTACCATCAACTTCTCTGTGGGTTTGCACATTTACTGTAAAAACCTCTGAGCTCACACAGAGGATTTATTATTTTATACAATGTTTAAATGCAACATATAACAAGCTGAGGCCGCTGCTGACCAGTGTGTGTGTGTGTGTGTGAGACTAAGTGCTGTACAATGTGATACTGTATGTGTCCCATTGAGGAAGCAATCAATTCAAAACATGTTGCATGCCAGGCTGGTTTCCAGAGACACAAATACTGTATCATCCTTTTTTCTCTGAATACCAGGTTTCTACCCCAGCATGCACTAGGTGAGAATCAGGTGGCCATGTTTATTGCAGTCATGTCTGTAAGACTCAGACAGACAATCACATGTAGCCCACAAAAGCTATTCAGACTTTTCAAATCAAATCAAAGAACCTTGATTATTGAAGGCAGACGTGGGTTCTCTTGCTGTGAATTGACAGTCAACATTCAGACAGACAGAGGTTTTATTTCCTGGAAACAATGTTATCTAACTATATACGTCTTTGAGTTGACTCTTTCTTTTCTTCTCTACCAGGTTACCACGTTCCTGGGGTTAAAAGTGTTCTGAAACACCAACAGTTCATCAGCACTGGAGACAAACCTAAGTCTCTACAAACTTCACCAAAAGTCTGTTTCTATCTCTGGGATGCTGCAGGGAACAGGACTATAGTAGCACAGGTCACTGTAACAAAGTCCTCCCTGCCACAATGAACAGCATGAATGCTCAAACGCACCCATCACCAGACTACAAGCAACTTTCCTGATACAAGCTTCCTGCTAGTTTACAAGGCAGCTTGTCTTGTGTGTTGAGAGAAAACAGCCCTTGGATTAAGATGAACCATACCTGTAATATGAGTGAAGAACTCCGGACATACAAACACCATGTGTATGCAGTGGTGTACAGTGTGATTTTAGCACCAGGCCTGCTGAGCAATGTGTTGGCCCTGTGGGTGTTCAGGGTCTATATCAAAGAAACTAAGAAGGCTGTGGTGTTCATGATGAACCTGGCTGTGGCTGACCTACTGCAGGTAAATGTCCATCTGTGTCTTATGTCCTTCTTATATGACTGTTATCTCTTTGTCTGTTTAGCTGTTTCATTACTGTATGTATTGTGTGATTGTACATTTTTATTTCTTGCACATAACGCATACCCATGAGGCACCTGTAACCACGGTATAACTACTGTATGATAATTTAGTGACAAATAAACAAATGTTTACATAATGTACATGCACAAAGCACGGCATATTAAACTTGAAAGCTCATTCGGAACCTCAGGTTTACAAAACAAACAAACAAAAACATACTTACTAGATTTCTTGCAGTGCTTTCAGCCCCCGCCTCACATGAAGGAATCTTTTATGAATAAAAAAGATAAGCCTAAAATGTTAACGTAAAATAGTAATAATTAGTAATAAATGTAGCCAATAAATGCAATAAACAAAGGAGTAATATTTCATATAATGCTCACATCTTAACCAGTGTCTATACACTGGTTAAGATACTTTAAAGGTGTTAAACATACTTATATAAGCTAACAACTATAACAATGTGTGCTGTAGTATGATATAAACATTTATTACCGTTTAGAATGAGCTTATAAATGCTAAATAGAGGGGTTAAAATAAAGTGTTACCATTTCTCCCAACAAATGTCTAAAAATGATTGAAAATGTCAAAGTCTAAAGGTAAAAGTTCAAATGACAGGTTATTTATGTGTAAAACAAACCAAAATCCTCACAGTTTAAAAGCTTTTCAGTCAAAGCTCATGTGAGACTTGTGTGAACCAGAAACTACTGTACTAATCGATTATCCACATTCTAGTTGACTTGTTTTTTGTTGTCCAAATTAGAAAGACATCAGGGTTTCCTTGTTCCAAAACCATCTGACACTCTTTGCTCTCCTCAGGTGCTCTCTCTGCCTTTGCGGATCTACTACTACATGAACAACACCTGGCCTTTTGGTCATCCTCTCTGCATAATCTGTTTCTATCTCAAGTATGTCAACATGTATGCTTCCATCTACTTCCTGGTGTGTGTGAGCGTGCGTCGCTGTGAGCTCATCATGCGTCCACTGAGGTACACGTCATCCAGGCGAAAAGGAGACTTCATTATATGCGCCTGTGGCTGGCTGTTGGTCTGTTTGGCCTGCCTGCCATTCCCTCTGCTGAGGAACTTTACCAGTGAAAATACCAGTGAAAATAGCACTAAACTGGTGTGCTTCTCAGAGCTGCCCATGAGGCCTGTCACAACTCTAACAGCCTGTGCCCTTCTGATCATAGCTGAGCTGTTTGGGTTCATCATCCCCCTTATCTGTGTGTTAGCCTGTACCTGTCTGACTGCTGGGAGCCTCCGGAGGCAGAACACAGGTGCAATTACTGACCGAGGAGAGAAGCAGAGGGCTTTAAGGATGGTGCTAAGCTGTGCCGCAGTTTTCTTAATATGCTTTGCTCCATACCATATTACTATGCCCCTGGACTTCCTGGCAAAAGCCAACGCTCTTCGCAATTGTGCCCTCAGGGATCTGATTCTGCGATGTCACCCTGTCACACTCTGCCTGGCCAGCCTGAACTGCAGCCTGGACCCACTCATGTACTATTTCACAACTCATGAATTCTGGAGGCGGCTAAGCAAGACAGAGATACCAGAGAGCATAGCTTTCAGCAGGCGCCTGTCCCGCGTGACTGCAAGAGGGGAGGTTGAGGATGACTAGACCACAGTCTAAATGAGCTTGCTGAAGGACCAAAATGATAATCTCAACCACTAAACTCTGACAACAAGACGTTCCTAAAATCTAAAAAGTTATAATTTACATGAAAACATGCATGTGGAAATACAGAGTGAGTTTCAAACTGTGAATTTTTTTCTATTTATTTTTCAATAAAGGTGTGACTTCTTTGTAAATTTGTACGGCTCAAGTGAAGAGTGAGCTAGTTCTGTTGTGAGGGATGAACTTGCATTCAAAACCTCTTACGGATGAACACAATACCGTTAAACCAGCTACACCCTTCCCTCTAGATCCAGTTTTATGATAAACTAACAGCTGGCAGAGGATGATGAAAAAAGATTGTGCCAGCTAAAATGTCACTTTCATTGGTGTGAGCATGATAAGTAGGTAAAGGACTTTATTCAACAATGAAGTTCAGTTCAGTACATCTAATCGTCTAGTATTCAGATAAAAAGCTGAGACAAAAACACACTTTTACAAGCACACTTCCTGTCTGATTGTCTTTCTGTGCAGGTGGGAAAACACTGAAAACGACTTACACAATATTGGGCAAAAAGCCATTTTTCATACTTCCAAGCTTGTGTAAGGACTTTCAAATTCCAGTACAAATATTTAAAGCAAATATACTAATGTATGCTGAGAATTTGTTCCTGTGACAATTTGAAACATGTAGCATTCTTCAAAAAACCGCGCTGACAGGAGCTTATTGCTCTCAGACGTCTCAGTAAAGACAAGTCTCTTATGGGAGTACAAAGTCATAAATAAAAATGGAAAAACTAGCATTTTCTGAGACAAAACTGGTGACATTTCCCTTTAGCTTCAAGCTCAACAGCCATCTTTCAAGTCTAGTGCCACAAATGAGGTTTCTACACAAACACGGACACTGGTTGCAAGGTGCTGAACTGTTCACCATCAGGTTTACATTACATCATCACAGAGCAGGGCTGCAGAAGCCTCGGGGAGCAGCAGGGCACTCGGGGAAGTGGCGACTGAGAGCTCTGGGCTCGTGCATCTTCATAAAAAAAAACAACAACTTTGTTACATGTGTACTGTAGCTGTACTGTACCATACATTTCCATGGTGAATTGTGCTATAGCCTACCACAATATAACATACAGTACATTTTGTCAAGGCTGCTCTACAAACCTTTGAGAGTGAAAACAGCAGGCTGACACACGAACAGGATACAGTATGAATGAGTTCTCATTATCAGCAGCATATACTACCGGTTGAATGACTAATAATACTCATCTAGAGGTGACTGGACGTTGTAATAGCGTTAACAACTACGAGATCAGTCAGCAAGAAATTACAGCAACAAAACAAAACCCAACATAACAAATAGTTAAATGCTTAGTTAGCAGGCTGACGCTGGTTAATAGTACAAGACTAGCTAGTGAATAACAAGAGCAAGAAAGCTATGACCTGTACAGGTTCAGGGGAAGGTTCAGCAAAGGAGAGGGTTAGGCTATAATATGTTGCAACGTAATGTCACTTATCACTGGGGTTAATGCAGGGGAGGCAAAAACTGGAACTAGAGATTTATACAGTAGTAACTTTGTGCTGAAAATTGTTCCCTCTGTCTCTCCTACTCCCACCAATTCTCCCTCTGACCTATGCTCATGTTTTCCCATCAAGCCTTGCAGATATGTGTCTCCATCACAAACTTGTTCTCAAAGTGATGGATGATGAAGCATTCGTCTGCCGAGCGCTTCTGGATGCCTCCACCTGACAGACACAAAAATACACAAACAGAAGTTTATTAGTGTTCTCCAGGGTCCGTGAAGTTCTGGTTTCGTTCTGTGTCGTTACTAGCAGTTTAAGTGGTGCAAGATGTGTGAGCAGACGCTAAAAATCACAGATGCACTGATACCACCAGACCAAGTACAAACACTTACACCAAGTACCTGCCAGTACCGATACAGTGTTTCTACTGTAAAAGCTAAAATTTAAGTTCAGTGACTTTAAAGATATTCCTGATAGTGAATAAACAAATTATACAAAAGGAAGTTGTGCAAATTAATTTCAAAATGTTCTGTGTAAACAAATATGGCGCCGTCACCATTCCACTTAAATATAACATGTAACTGACAGACCTTCTGTAGCCTTCTACACAACTTACAGTAATAAGGAAGTTCTTAACATTTTTGGGAGTAAAAAAAACCCAGAATGCCAATAGCGCATAATGCCAGAATTAGAAATTTAAAACTGTAATTAAAAGGAACAAGAATCTTCCTTTTGTTGCAACTGGCAATAATTCAAGCATTACTTATAGATGGTTGTAGTCACATTATTTAAAAAGACAAAATTAGCTACTTTTGCAGTATTGTACAGTAGGAGCAGTTTCTTAAAGGATAAGGCCACTCATTTTCTATATTAACAGTATATTCAACACTTCCCATACAGAGACTAAAACCAACAATGAATCGCCTCTGCTCGCGGTTAATGTCTGTCAGTCCTGGATTAGCTTGTTCGTTTGTGCCACAGACCCCCACTGCTGTTCAAAAATGGTTTACATGTTTCCTCACTGCAAAACACAAGACCCTAATAACTTCTAAAAACACTGCAGTCCCTGAAAGCATAAGATCTTACAGCGTGTGAAGTGGGCATAAGTCAGGGGCTCATGGACAAGATCTTTGAATATTCTTAACAAATATCTTGTGTTTTGTAATGAGCAGACATCATCCGGTGTGGCAGTGAACGTGTGTGGCACAGAAGAATGAGCTAAACCAGAACTGACAAACTCACAGACATTAACAGTGAGTAGAGGCAATTCCTTATTGGTTTTAGTCTCTGTATGGGCAGTGTTTAAAATATGGCTAATATAGGAAATGACCTGATTTGATTTAAAAACAGAGGAGCATTTTGTTAAAAAAATAAATGATCAACCATTTTAAAAGCGTTAACTCATAGAAGATGTGTGAAGTATGAAACTAAACACACACTCTTCATGACAAACGGTCAGTTTCAGCTGTGCGCCACATGCATACCTGGCAGGCTGGCACGACGTTGCATTCTATATGTTTCCTTTCCATCACACAGCCGGCGGATGTAGTAGCCCAGAGACTTGATATCATCAATCCGCTCCGTCACCACCAGGTCCTCGTGCACCAGGTAGCTGCGGTAAGAGCCAGACTGGGACAAAAGATTACAGATCACGAAGAAATCATGAGAAAAGCAGATCAGTGAACAAGACTGCACCCAGGTGTGAGAACTAAGAGTGGGAAGGACTTTGTGTAGATGATGACTCATCGCCAAACTTCAGCATTTTGTGAAATGCTTTCACACCAGATAATGACATTTGCTGATTGCAAGACCACCCACCAAATGCCAAATGTTTTGCAACATGTTATGATGGATTGTTTTTGAAACCAAGCTCTCACCACATAAAGTTTTAGGACTGACTGCTGTAAAACAAGCTGACCATGTTCCACTCTCACTAAAACTCAATGAAAAGCAAACGCCCTAATGTACCCGAACAAACAGAGCTGAACTGGGGATCTACTGGATGGACTGCCATGACATGTGGTACACACATTTATGCCCCTCTCAGGATAAATTGTTTGGTAATCCCTTAGCATAATCTAGCATCAACATATCACTGTTTGTTTATGAGCAAATACCTGCAAAACTGAGAACATTTCCATCAACTGCAGTCACACTTTGCGATTGGTGCTAATTAACAAAAATCCGCTTGTTAACCTGCTCAGCATTATACCTACCAAACACTGACATGTTAGCACGGTGACTGTAGCATTTAGTTCTAAGCATCACTGTGCTTAAGTGAAGCTTCACAGAGCTGTTAGCATGTCTGCAGACTTTTTATTCTGCATCCCAAATCCATACTACATAGTGATTCTAAGCAGGATCTGAGCATGTAGCATGTTCACACCCAGCTTCTGGCAGAGAATACTCAGTCTGATTCATACAGTGTCACTGCTGTGTGTCCCAGAGTGTCTGGGACAGAGAAAGGTGATGTTTGCAAATTGAGGACACACTGGATTAAAACAGATAGACAATCTGTGGAATGATTACAAATCCCTGGATTTCCTGAGGCAATATTTAGTCCTTAATATTATGGCATGAGCTTAAGTGAGAGTACTGTGTGACATAGTTTTTCTTCTTTTATCCGAGCTAGGTCGCAAAACGCATCCTTAGATCCTGTTACTCACCATCAGCTGTGAGAACAGGTCGATGAGGTCCTGAGGGGGGAGCACCACTGAGGTGTTCAGAGGAATCACAAAGCAGGTCCTCAGAGTCAAGTCCAGATATGCTGTCAGCTTCGACTGACACACACACACACACACACACACACACACACACACACAGAATAATTAGGGAGACATTTTAACTGCATTAGGAGGAACATCTACTACTGCGGATGCTTGTGTGCTCCTGGGCTATTTAAGTGTACAGAGTGTTACCCTGTTGAAATCATGAAGGATGTAAGCAGGATCTCCAGGTCTGAAGCGGGGAGGGGGGACACTGATGACGGCCATGCTGTCAGAGATTTCCACCTCCTCCTCCACCTGTGGCAGGTAGTAGGGCTGGCTCTCTCCTCCTGCTCCGGTTGACACGTCACTGAACTGCATGGCACCATGATACAGCCTCTGGAGGAAACATGGCCAAGTAAGAGCAAATCCACAGAAAGACCAATCACATTTAAAGTGTTATTTTGTTATTAAATGTGTTACTTCTTCATGAGGTGTCACACCCCAGTTTTTGTTCATATTTACATGGGACTAAAAACAACATCTGCCACCATGGTTCCAAGTTATTTTTACCATGATAAAGTGGGTTTTTGTCTAGACCTGTGTGGCCAGTTCCCCTCTGCAGTGTCTACCTGTCTGCTCTGCCAGCATCTTCAGTTTAACGGACAGCACCAGCCTTACCTAAGACACACCAAACTGCAGCAGCTCAGATATCGGAGGTTGCCAGTGGGAGCCAAAGCACGTGTTGTTTGGGTACAGGCCAGCACGGTTTGCACATGAGTAGAAAAGTTTGAAAAGTATGCCACAGATAGGACCTGATCTCAAAAGAGGCCTGAAGCGGCATTAAATTATTCTCAGACACTAGAGGGCAGAAGACAGACTCAGTACTGAATTTTGGTGTAACGTGCTCTAATGTAATTTTTTATGTTTAATGTGTATGTTGTATTCTATTCTTCTTTTAATAAAGAAAATTATCCGTCTCATATATGCTATTTATATTTTACAGCTTACATGTGAGGAAACAACTGATATTTAAGGAAAATAACATTTGTTGCTTAGGGGACAAGAAACAGGACATAGGAAGACAAACGCGACCTGTCAAATCTTTATAAAAAAGGACTTGAGATCTTTAAACTAAGCGGCCTTTTTGCATTGTATAAACAGTTTAACACATTTTAGGCTTTGCTTTACTTAAATGAGCACAGAACTCCTGTGGGCAGAGAGACAGTGTGAGTTCCTCCCACTGACAACACAGCAAAATTCAAATGAAGCCTGCACTTTCCCCTGAAGACGGAAGCGAAGGCGAGTCAGCACCGTTTCCCACCCAGACAAGGGTGTCTCACCAGTAATCACGAGCAGCCTTAATGATTCTGCTCAAACTCAAGTAACTCTCTCTTTGTTCCCCACGGCATGTGACCAAAGCAAAATTAAAAGACGATTTAGTTTCACTTTGGCCATGGGAAAAAATATGTACACTGTACATTAGTGCAGATGGATAATCAGGAGAAAGACTGTACACAAGGTGCATTTTCTTTGGATATTAAATGAATATCAGCATATGTATCTAAGATTAATATAACACAGTTACAGACAATATGGAGACACACTCACACTTACACACCAACCACGCACATGATACACTCCCTGACCTGTGTGTGTGTCAGTAATTGTGAGCATCTGTTGTCCTTTTATTGAAGCCCTGGATCAACCTGCAGGCTGGAAACCTTATCACCCACATGGCTCTGTTTACCCTGCTGCTCTCCCCGAGTGTACAGTGTTTGTCCACTCATACATCGAGCCGCACGCTGCACACATCACGTCAAACCATTTTCAGAGCCTACTGGGTCATGATTTGTCTGCTTTGTACAGCTGAAGTCAGAAGTTTACGTGCACTCGGTCAGGATTTGGTAGCATTGCCTTTAAACCGGTGAACCTGGGCCTTCTCACAGTAAGATGCTGGAGTTTCAGCCCGTTCAGACAGAACCGGTGGAACTGGGTCTGGTTTGGGGGCCTCCTTGCTCACACACACTTTTTCAGCTCTGCCTACAAATTTCCTGCTGGACTGAGGTCAGGGCCTTGTGGTGGCCATGATATGTCCACATCATCTTCCATCTTCATGATGTTTAGTGAGGTGGCCCAGTCCATCCTGCAGCAAAGTCCCTTCACAACATGATGCTGCCTCCCCCGTGGCTCATGGTTGGGATGGTGGTCTTTGGCTTGTGAGCCTCCACCTTTTTCCTCCAGACATAACGATGGTCTTTATGCCAAACAACCAGAGGACATTTGTCTGGACAGTCAGATCTTTGTCCCCATGTGCAGCTGAAAACCGTTGTCGGCCTTTTCATGGCATCTTGGAGCAGCGGCTTCGTCCTTGCTGAGCAGCCTTCCGGGTTACGTCAACACAGGACTGGTTTTACTGTGGATTCAGACACTTTAGGTATCCTCCAGTGTCTTCACAAGGTTCTTTCCTGTTGTTCTGGACTGATTTGTACTGTTTGGACCAAAGTCCATTCATCTCTAAGAGACAGGACACGTCTCCTTCCTGAGCGGTACGATGTTGCATTGTCCCATGGTGTTTATACTTGTGTAGTGTTTGTACAGATGAACGTGGAACCTTCAGGAGTCTGGAAATTGCTCCCAGGGATGAACCACACTTGTGGAGGTCCACAGTTTTTTCTGAGGAAGTTTCCCATGATGCCAAACAAAGAGGTAGTTTGAAGCTAGGCCTTAAAATCCATCCACAGCTGCACCTCCAGTTGACTCTGATGATGTCAGTCAGCCAATCAGAAGCTTCTAAAGCCATGACATCATTTTCTAGAATTTTCCAAGCTGTTTAAAGCCGCAGTCGACTGAGTGAATGTAAACTTCTGACCCACTGGAATTGTGATATAGTGAATTATAAGTGAAATAATCTATCTGTAAACAACTGTTGGAAAAATTACCACTCTGTTTTACAGCTAAATTTAGCGAGCTATGGCAGAGAAGGTACCCACTGCAGCTTTCCTTTGCAAACAGAGACCGCTGTTACAGGCCAGGCCTTCCCCTTTAGGACATAGAGCGTTATAGGTAATGTTGTTGTTGTTGTCAGAAGTTGTGACCTGCATGCAGTATGGAGCGAGAAGATGCCATATGGAACAGACTCCTTTCACATGCAGCCAGACTACTAATAGTCAGCTCTCAGTGTATAGATAGGATTGTAATGCAGTTAACTTGGCATCAAAGGCCACATGCAGTGTTCGTGTCACCAAGATGGGATAATGCCTGTGTTTTGAGTTAGCTGGCCTCCCTTGTCCCTTTTCCGTGATGGAAAAGCCCCGACTTCTAAGACTAGTTATCGGCCAAGCATTTTAACCATGAACCAGAGGTCCCCAGCTACGGTTTGGGGCTGAAGATGTGGGTGGGTAACACTGTATTTGAGGAAGTTACAACTAAAAAGAAGTAAAACCTGAATGGCGACAACTGAGAGAACAAAAGGGGCTGAAAAGTGACGACATGGTGGCCGTATTTCTGCTGGACAGGTAATTATTGGTTTGGTTTGGTTTGGTTTGTTGCCATTTGTTATTTTCCTGAAATCTGTAAGTAGTAGTCAGTCAGTGTGCATTGTGTTTTGGAAGTGTCTTTGGAGAGAAGTCAGAACAAAAGAGTGGGATTTCTTCAGTTATCTACTTTCAAAAACAAGCTTACTCTTGCTGTTTTTTCCAGAATGTCCAACCCTACCTTTGACCATCAGAATGAAATGTCCAACCCAATACTAAACCTAATTCTAACCTGAACCCTGAAACCAAGTCTTAACCCTCAAAAAGGTGTCTCAGAAAGTGAGGACTGGCCAAAATGTCCTCACTCTGTTGTAAGAAATACTTTTTGGTAGGTAGTAAGTATAAGAACACACACACACACACTCACTCACTCACTTTTGGCGTGAAATAGCGATAGAGACATGCTCCCCCGACGATGAGCCCACTAAGGATGAAGGCGATGCCCAACAGAGTGAGCAGACAGCGACCTGTGGACCCCTCGTTGCCCGCTGGAACAGTGGCCAGCTCAGGATCCTAAAGACACACATACACATATATGCACACAATAGTATGGGGGATAATACTGACATCACATTTATAAAGGGCCTCCACCTTCTGGAAGATGCTTGAACATTGTTTTCCCCCTTCAATAATAATGCTGCATGCACTAAACAGCTAGAATCAACATAAACATCTTTACTCGGCAGCGCCGTAATCCCAATGGAGGTTAGGCCTCTGCAGAGCAGTTGTTTAGGAGATGGGCGGTCCCATCAGGTGCACTACGCAGCTCCATGCATTTTGCAAAAAAAATATGGCAACCCGCTAAATTATTGTTTGCAATATACATAAGCATCCTTAAAGACCCTGTGAAAACGTTCGTGGTTAAAGTCAGTGGTCAGAACCGACTGCTTGCCGCCGGTGCAGGCCTGCCACCAGGCTCAGTCGCCGCTATAAAGCCCGTTAACTCACCTTCACAGCGGCTGGTGCCTCTTTGCCCAGCGCCTTCTGCGCCAGCGCCGAGTTAAAAGCGATCTTCACCATGCTGCAATGGAAACGTGTGCTCGAGTTTCTTGGGCAAACAGAGAGCAACAAACTATCGGAGGAGACTGTAAGCTTTGTGTATTCTCAGCAGCTCCGCACTGTGACGCACTTTGCAACCTTGGCTTTATTTAGCGCATCCGGTGGCTGGAGGAGATTAAGACGACATCCAACACAGAAGGAAGCGCATCTCCTTCAACCACAAATTACATGACATATATAAACAGCTGAAACAGCTGACGTCTGGCTTAATTTAAATTACTGTTATTATTGGTTTGCCAGCGACCACCATTTATTGCCTCATTGGAGAGTTCATTTGTGAAACTTTGGTGTCATCTAGTGGTGGTAACCATTTATATTTTGTGATGCTCCGGAACAGCATAGCTTCCATTCGTTAGACTGAACCTAATAACACAAGACTTGGAACTATTTAGACTTAGACTTGTCTTTCTTTAGCCACTATATTTTGATTCAATTAGCACTGACTGCACTGCAATGCAATACAATAAGACTCTGGGCATATAATGCAGTCTATTCATCTCTGAATATCCACTCTGTAAATGGATTCTGTAAATATATTCCCTCCTTCATGCTGAATACTACCTGCCAGTATGTCTGCCCACTCACATTGATACACACAGTACACAGCCTTCTCTGTACTGTGTGGAAACACAGACCAGTGCCAAGTCTATACAGTAGGTCTGACACATTTCCCCAGTCCTCTGTGTCTCTGGTCTGTGGTGGTCCTCTGCTTTCACTCTCCTGACTCAGTTAGGCTTGTATGTATGGGTAAAATAAACACTTACTGCCACACCAGTGCTCTAATTCAAAACAACCTGGTGGCATGTCTCCAGCCCTCTGTACTGCAACTCTATCATATGCATCTCGCCCCCTCACAAATACACACATAAGCACGCATGTACTCTGCGTAGCTATTATATTTCCTCTGTTAAACAGACAGATTGGACCGGTAATCACCACTGAAAGGCACATAAACAGAGCAGCTGATTTCTGTACCTAACTCCCCCCTCTGTGTACTTCTCCCCAACGCCGACTCTCCCTGAAAAGCCTAAGTGGTCCTGAAGGCTTGTTTATGGGCTCGTCTTACGCTGTGTTTGATCTGAGAGCTTGCCCACACATGCATGTGTCGGGACACACACACACACACACACACACACACACACGCTACAAGAGAGAGGGAGAGCCAGCATTAGTTAATAGCTGAGATGATAAACAAAAGACTTAGATTTAATCTTGAGGGCCTCTCAGCATCACACAATACAAAGGAAAAGAAAAAGCAGAGGAAGGAGGTGAGGAGGTGACTGTACTCTGAGGAAAACTGGGCGATTGCAAGGGAGAAGTGTAGAGGCAGGTGGGGATAAAATGGAGGGATTCTGAGGAAAAGTGAAGTGATGACTGGAAAAAACATATAGAGAGAGTTACAGGGAGAGGCAAAGCAATCTACAGCGTCTGATGCTTGAGTGAGTTTTCCGAGGAGCTGATTAATGACAGATTAAACTCGCTGTTCGTGCAGTTTACATCCCAAACTTTCCAACACATCTGCTAGGTAGAATTTCTCTACCACTCAGACTGAAAGGTGCATAACATACACAAATAGACATCCATGTTTTTGAGCAGAGGCACACAGAAGCAGGGGGCATCATAATGGTGGATGGCAGGCATGTATGATGCAGATTGAATGCCAGTGTTTTCGCTGTGGTCTGCAGCAAATGCCCAATAAAAGCAATAAAAATCCCCATGCTTTACACATATATACACAAACACACGCTCCTTGGCTGCAATGTCAGCAGACTATGAAAGACTGTTCCAGTTTCATAAAGGGTGAGAAAAAGTAGCGCTCAGGCATGACATCACCCACTGGCTTTCCAACAAATATGAACACACACACACACCCACACACACACACACACACACACACACACACACACACACACACACACACACACACACACACACACACACACACACACACACACACACACACACACACACACACACACACACACACACACACACACACACACACACACACATATAGCCCCAAAACTACTTTGGTAACAGCTGGCCACAGAGCAGCTCGAACCAAAAAAGTTAGATGCTGCTCAGTGTTTCATAACGTCACTGACATGTCTTCATGTGGACCCACCATAATCACCATGTGTCTGGAGTGGGAGAACATTTAGTGGTCAAAGAAAGAAAGAGCAGGAAACAGAGAAAATGGGAGGGAGAGAGAGAAGAGCAGATCTCATGGGCAAACATGTGGTGGCGAGCAGCGGTGCTACTTCAAAGCCCTTTTCAGATCCCCGCCCCTAAAATCATCATGCACCACACTCTCATGATCTTTGCTCTGCCACACACACATTTTTGGCAATCACACGTGGCTTTGAGACACTGGTGACAAATGAGTCTTTCCTGTGAGTATCAGCTTCAAAAGCTACCTTCGCTCTCCCATAGCACTGCCTGTCTGCCTGTCTCATACTCTTCATCCTCCCAGCTTGGCTCACTTCAGGGAAATGTTATAATTTCATGCTGGAGCTTTAGTGAGGTGGTTGGGGAGGAGGGTAAAGGGGAACTGTCAGAAGAAAGATCAGGATTGGGTTGAACCACCTATTTAGTTCCTATACTGTTGGCTAGTTTGTAGAAAGCTAATAGCACCATTAAAACCTATAAGAAATGTCTTAGATAGTAAAGTAACTGGGAAATGTTTGTGGCACTGTCCAGGCAAAAGTAATCAGTTATGTAAACAGAAAATCACTGCATTATCACCAGGTTTAGCACAACTTAAATCTACAGTATGTAACTTTTTTCAAATATTTTTGTTGTAGAACTATGCTCCAAAACCTGTCTTAGTGTGGAGAGGTGCTGTCGAAGCCTCCTGTGACCCAGACTCATTGAACAGCACCCGCAGCAGTGCAGAGATATTAGTTTCTAATAGATTTTGTTAAGTTTGGTTGTATTCTCTTTTATTGTAATTTCATAATGACAAATATCTGAATACCTGGGCAGAGCATGGTGGAGTGTAGCAGGTTGTAGTAGAGCATAGTGGAGCAGTGTGTGGGAGCCCTGGGGGGGCACCGGGGTGATTTGGAGTATCATGCTAGTGCTACCTTAAGTTACATACTGTAGCTTTAAACTACAGTTAAATGATATGATAAACTCCACTGCCAGTCGTTATAAATAACTAGTAACATTTGTTTACATACATACAGGATGATATCGGAGTGTTTCACATTTAGTAGTATTTATCCTGTTCAGAATGAGTGTGAAATGCTAACCTAGCTGGTGTTATTTGGTCACCTAACAAAGAGTTACTGTACTTACATAGCTTTTTGTAGATTAAGGTATCTATTTTTGGGCAAAGTAATTTAAAGTCTTTTTAGCCTGCACTATTATTATGCCACATTTTATCAAGTGTTTTCATATTGGATGCCCTCTTTTCTTTCACTCTGTTTCAAGCTAACATTAGCGTTGTTGGTGTGTAAACAACTGTTAGCCTACACCTGGCAGTTACTGGGAGTAAATGTTTAGTTACAACAATTCTTTAGTTGTTAGGTTAGTTAATTCTAGTTTGTGCAGCCTATTTGAATTTAGTAGTAAATAAACATCTAAAATTAGTAAACACATTATAAATAGGCTAAGTATGAACTGAAGGTGCTGGTGCAACCTGCTTCTGGGTTAAAATGAATTAGAAAGTTAATCCTGAGTAAAACAGTTCTTTGAATCACATCACTGTCTTTCACTTTTTCTATGAACAAGGTGAGATTTTGGACATAATTATTGGACTTACTGGAGTCATTTATATTTATATGACATACCAGAACACTAAGCTTTATATGACTGCATTTAATAACTGCTGTTAATTTGTGCTTTGTCTTGACTTGTGACCTAATGTTGCTGCCTGTCTTAAGTATCAAAGTAGTGGTGAAAAGACGGAATGAAAGAAGGTTTGAAGCACAGGAGAGAAGTGGAGAAAAGGTCCGACTAAAAGGAGAAAAAAGATTGGTTACATTGATGTGATGAATTCAACTCAGGAGAAGCAACTTGTGCAACTAGAAAGAAAAAGGTGTGAGAATTACAAAGGATGAAAGGGGACAGAGAAGGATGGAGGGGTGGAAACAGATGGATGTCTATCATGGCCTTAAGAGTTAAACGCTGAGGAAATTACCTCATCATCATGAAATTCCACCAGCACTACACTCATGTTGACTCTGCATCACTGTAGCACGCGTACACACAGAGACACACATATATGTTGTGTTTCCATCACTTCAGAGGACATTACATTGACTTACATTCATTTCCTGGAAACCTACCCTAGCCTTAACCATAACCAGTACTTGCCTAACTCTAACCTCACCCTATAACCTTAAACTAAGTCATCACTCTGAAATGTAATGATTAATGTTAAGAGAATGATGAGTCTACACAAGGTGACTGTGTGAACAACATGAGTAAAACCCCCGACTTACACACCACGTCTGCTGAATGGTGGCCAACAGCATCATAGACTGGTCGAATCACTTCCAGATTCAGTGACATCACCTCTGTCAGGTTCACAGGAGGAGTGGAAAACACACACACAGTGTACGTTTCCACTGATCTGTATTTTTTCTTCAGTTATGGTCATTTTAAGACTTTTTAATCAGAAAGAACCTGCCCTCACATCATTCGGTGGGTTCAGCATAGAACTGACAGACTGAAGCTCTTGTGGCTGAAAGTCCCTGTTGGATTCAAAATGGTGCTAATAAGGTTTTAGCAGCCCACAGAGGTTAGAGAAGAGGCCATTGGTTCATATTCCAGTTTTGGATAATATGAAGGACCTGTCACTAATCTGTCTTTCAGCAACTACTGTCACACTTTGCTACCAATTGTCAGTCCATGAAAGACTTGTGCAAAGGATGGCCTCTTGTATACTTACCCAGCTCTCAGATTTGGGACATCCCTCAAGATGGTGGACTGGAATGACCTGTGGGTCAGCTGAAGAGTGAGAAATGACAAAATAAAGGAATTAGGATTTACCCCAAATGCTGTTTGCTCCAACAGGTTTTTATGGCCAACAGTAACGTGATATTGGTAGGCGACCTCTGGTGGGCATATTTATCATGACACAAGCAAAGGAGGAAGTTAGGTGACATTATATATAGAGCAACATAAAACACTTTCCCACAAAAGACCAGTGTTCAATTCCTGGTTGAAACTTTAATTGGGTGTAACCATGACAACAACGGTTATTTTAACCTGAACCCCGGTCTTTTTCTATACCTA